TTCGTAAGGTTTTTTAATAGTTGTACATGCCTTTGTACCTATCTAAAGTTTCTAGCATTTGACATCTTTGTGATAGGAATTCGTTAAAATCATGAATTTTGGGAGAGGTTATGGATTTGCAAAAAATTTCCAATTCACGTTTAGTATTTAAATCGAGCTTGGATACTAAAATATATATTAAAATAGTGTTCCATTGACCTACATTTTCCCCTAACGATTCTAAAGACCTGTAATTTTTAAAGAAGGTATTGGAAAAATATCTTAAAGCCGTGTGAGATTCTTTATTTAATGCAGTTAAATCCATCATTTCTTTCAAGTGCGAATTTATTATAATCTTCTTATTTTCATACCGTCTTTCTAAAAGGGCCCATGCCGTTTCATAATTTGAGTCTGTTGGAGTTAAAGAACCAACTATATTTTTTGGCTCGCCTTTAAGGGAGGCTTCTAAATAATAAAATCTATGTACGTTCGTTAGGGTGCTGTTATTATGAACGATGGCCCGAAACATGTCGCGAAACCTTTGCCAATCGCTGTACGAACCACTGAATTCGGGTAAAGTTATTTGCGGTAATTTTGCGACATTTGACAACCTCGCGTCAGACGAGTCTCGACTCGAAGCCGTCCACGGATCCGTCTCCGGTGAGGGGGACGAAGGCATCAGAATGTGTGATTCCCCTAGAACTTCTTGGAAATGATGTTGATCTAATATTTTTTTGGCTTTAGCTATGGCGTCGAAATAGCGGGTTTCAAATTCTTCGCGATCGATTATGCCGTCATTTTCGTCATAATTATCCGGAAAATCGCTTAATAATAATTCTTCAAATTGAGTTTGAATTGATTTAAATTTTTGTAAAGTGGGTTTTATTGATTCAAATCTTAATTGTAATTGTTCGATATGTTGATCGATATTACTTTTTGCTAAAAAAGTTTTAAAGCGAGTTAATTCTCCCTTGATTTGGGCTCTGCTGTGCTTTAAACGGTTTAAATCAAATTCTGAATCATGTAAGTCGTTATCACCTACATCTGACATCGTGCCGGCGTGAAATAGATATTCTAATACGAAGAGGTTTTTGCTCGAGGTTTGTTTTTGTGTCGGTGATTAATTGAAATTACGTGTCTTTATTATAGGAAGTTTACGAGTTTTTTTTTATTATGATTTTATATTCGAGACCCTCAAACTTTTGCCTACAAAGCTAATGACATCGTGTAAATCCACTTAATGCGATTGCAATTCAGAACGAGAGACAAATGTCTAAGATTCATATTTTTTGAATTACGTGCGCAGGCAAAATATCTCGGCTAAGTGATAGGTACTGGAAAGGACTGACCTTGATTATCGCTCTAGCTTTCGTCCGACAGGCGACAAGTGTCGATGATTGCAATTCTCAGGTTGATACGTCGTTTATGTCCAAGTCTGTCCAATGCTCGGGCGCCAGTAATGTGTTGGGGTTTTCTCACTTGCTTGGTTGTTGAAAAACACCCACGCGAACTTCTCATGCTTTTACTGATTTTCAAAAGGAACAGAGATAGACTTCTACACTACAAATTTAAATAAAAATTACATGTGGTCAATCCCCCCGTTTTGCGACCTAATTCTCTAACAGTTTATTCGCCACTATCCACGCGGTTTTTCACTCTTCCATTTTTCGTGGTGTCGTGCAGCGTTGCCACTATTGGCTCACATTCATAAAATACATAAAAACTGAACACCCCCATTTAATCAACGGGAAAATCTAAAAGATTTAAAAGAAAATGAGACAGTACATTCCTCAGCGAAAAATCCAATTTTCGAAATTCCAATTTCGGAAAAACCATTAAATCATTTTAAAAATCAAATAATATTAACAACCGAAGATATAGCAAAATTCTTAATAAGGAAAGAAAATGTGTTTGATAATAATCGATTTTATATCACAATCCCGAAAAATGATCACTTGCCAAATATTATACAAATCGTGAAGGAATACTTTAAACCAAAAACTACTTATGCAATTTACTTTCAAGCAGAAAATTTAATTAGAATCTTCGCTGGAACATTACAAAACACTTTTAGAAATTCAGCACTTAAAATAATTCATTGCAATGTAGTTCTCGAACACATCGAAATCCAAAATGACGAACAAGAAAAACTCAATCAGTCAGTCTATACCGTACGAAAAAAACGTGCCATCGTGGAATAAACGAAATGAAGAATTCTCTTTGTAGAAAATATATGCCTAAGAAAATTATGTTAATAATTGTGACATATGCGAAAAGAATAAGTATGATCGAAAACCACCAGTGATAAAATTTAACTTACCCGCAACAGCATCAAAACCATTCGAACACATTCATATTGATACCTTTAGCATAAACCATGAAGCCTACGTTACAATAATTGACGCATTTTCGCGCTCTGGACAAGCGTATCCATTAAAAGGCATAACGGGAACTGAGGTTAATTTTACAACGTATCATAGATTACCACTGAAAATAACCTCCGATCAGGGAACAGAATTTAAAAACCAGTACCTCGAAGACTTTTGCAAGTTATACCGAATAGAATTACATTTTACGACACCACAAAATAGTAATTCAAACTCCCCTGTAGAGAGATTTCATTCAAGTATTATTGAAAGTTAATAAACCAAACGAAAAATAAATTAATAACACCAAAGACAAGCTAACATAAAAATAGTGCAGAGGCCAAAGGCTAATAAAAATCTATTTCTTCAGGAAACCAATGAAGATCAATATGTTGACTCTTCTACTCGTAACAGTTCTTACCGAACGAATAGTAACGACAGACGTACAAGTTACCAAACTCGTAAATCCTATACTTCCTATCCAGATAGGTAAAGCGAAGTTAATTTATAATAAACACACATTTATCTATTATGTAGATTTAAGCCAAATAATTAATCACGTTGAAAGCATGGAGAACGCATTACAAATATTTAAAGATAAATTTAATATTAAAAATATAACTAATAATATTTCTTATTATGGACTTGCCGAAAATTTACTTTTAAGAACTGAATACTTAATAGAAACTACGGTGGAAAAACTTGAAAATTTACATCCACATGTTCGTAAAGAATGAGGCCTAATTAACTCGGTTGGTAAAATAAATAAATGGCTATTTGGAACTCTCGACACTGACGACGGAAATTATTACAAAGCGGCAATAAATACACTTGAGAAAAACCAAAATAATTTAGCTAAAGAATTAGAACTACAAGTATCTTTATCAAAGAGCATAATTCATAACTCTATAATAAAACTATTGTGAAATTAAATGAAAATCAACGAAAACTACAAACTGGTTTAAAAACATTCCAAAATGCAGTATTAATGACGATAAATTCTTTACAAGACTATCTTAGTTTTCACGGGATCATTACGCAATAAAAACTTAGATTGCCAAAATATTATAATGTTTCTAGATAACCCAGAAGACGCTATTATGTTTGCAAAAGTTAATGGGCTTCATAATAGTATTTTACTTATTTCGGAGTTGAATAAAATGCTTAAATATCTAGCATCAATTAATAAAGAAAATCAAATTCCACAATTTAAAAGTATTTTATCTTCTTATCAAATTTTGGGAACTCAGGTAAATTTTGTTGACTAGAAAGCGATCTTTGCAGTCCATGTACCAATTTTAAGATCCGAAATATTTTCCTTTTACCATATTTTCCCAATAATCCAGAATCAATCAATTTTTATACCCCAATACCATATGGATATGGCACAAGCGGAGAAGAACAGACAGTTCACGGCAGAAACATGTCCCGTTATCGAAGAAATTTACTTTTGTAAAGAAGAAACTTACCCCCGAGATGTATGAGTGGAAAAATTATTTGACGACATCGTAATGGAAAACTGCCCCAGTACGAAAATGAACCTGTCAGAAGCCCCGCAGAATTTAGATCTTGTTCTGCCACAGAAGCCTGAAAAATTGCTAATTAAGTATAACACGGATCGATATATGCAAATCGAAAGTACCAGTACTGATTAAGATACCAGTAAACTGTCAAATAGAAATTAATGAACAAAAATTCTTCAACGATGTAAAAATCCAGTTCGGAAAACCAATATTTTTACCAAAAATCCAGTTAACGGGAATGAACGCAATGAGAGTCCTGGATACTCTTTCAAAAATAAATATTGACTAAATATATCAACTAAGAGGCTTGAAAGAAGTGACAGTGAAAGAAGAAGCAAATGCGTTCCAAATAATTGTTATTGTGTTTGGAATAATCATGGTTCTAATTTTAGTTTTCATCATTAAGAAGCTCTTCTTGGAAAAGGTACGAGAATGGAAGAAAACCGCATCCATACGAGAGGAAACCTGCCAAGAAGAAAATTTTGAAGCTTTTCCGAAAAAACACTCCGTTATTTTCGAATGTTAAGGAGGGAGGAGTTATATGCCCCAAACTGCAGACGAAGCCCAAAGCTAAGCGAAGATAACGCCTCGCGGACACCGCATCGAAAGCCCTATTTATTCGATTGTAATATTGTAAAATACGCTCCTAATTATTCCAACCTTTGAATCGGCTAGTCCAAATAAAACTTTATTTCGCTTTCTGTGTAATAAATGCTTTTAAAAACGTTTTTAAAAACCAAATAATGGCAAAGATTATAAATGTTAAGGAATTATTTTTTGTCAGAATTGAGATTTATTATTACAAACCAAGAACAGGTTACCTCTATTCAGTTACTATTATTCGACACGCTCTTAAAAGCAGAAACTGCTAGTAAAAAGAAGAGGAAAGACTATATATAGGCCAGAGATGATTTTATTACATTACAAAAAACAATATAGGATCATATTGTATCGTATGTCATTCTATTTGTAATAAAAAATCATATTTAATACACGGTTTAGTTTTTTCATGAAAATTTCCCCGATAGCAGGTAGTAGTCAAAATATTCGCGCCATCGCAGTATGGTGCCGTGCACGTAGGATCACAGTTGTGTGTTTTAAATATAGATGACAATAATTTCTTTTACTTTGTTGCGTGTACGCTAACAAATGATTGTTTTCAATTTTTTTCTGTCTCTGTCAGTTGAGATAGATTAAACAAAAATAACCAAAAATGACTTCATTTCAGAAGAGTAATGCGCCAGCTATATCATGTAACATTGTTTGACACTATAAAATAAAGGCACTTGAACTGAGAATTTAATACTCTCTAAATAACCCTAGCTGCATTTCTCGGGGTTGTTATTAATTATCTCGTAACTTAAGAGGTGAAACGCTAAAACCAAAATAAAATTTGGTTATTTATCTTTATTAGTTTTTTTACAATTATTTATACACCACTCTACAATTTCCGCTGCTGTCTCTCCTACTGCCTGGACTGCATCTAGAAGGGAGGTTTAGAAGCGATAAATTTTCGGTCCCTCGAAGGCACTCCACCACTAGGGTTGTCACGTTGACATCAAAAATGCCGCCACCCTGGTTTATGGGCGGGCACGGCCCGTTCGGTTTGCCTAACTCGTAACATTTATCCTCGTACCTGTGTAAAGATATGAATTGCCATTTTTACCTTTTCCCAGTGGCTGTTTAGCAAGTTCATGTTTTTTAGTTCCTAGTTTCCTAGTTTAGTTTCTGCCGGGATAGAAGGGGTCGAGAGAGCGTTCCCGGGAATAATTCTATTGCAGAGTAAACGTAATTTCAGAATGGGATACTATCACGTGACCGACTTGAGACCAGATCATACTACTCATATCATAATCTTGTGTCTAGAAAAATCGGAATTTCGTAGTGAATGGAAGAAGGCGCAAAATTCTGCGCAAATTGTACCCAATATCACTAATACTGATACAGTTGAGAACCTTCGAATCATAAGTAGTCCATTAACGTTTTCGAAAGTCTTATAGAAAAGAATTGGAAAACTAGCTACTTAATCAAATTTAATATAATCCCCGAAAAGCAATCGGGATTTAGAACTATTTACAAATGTTGCACGGCCGTTCTTAATATTACTGATGATATTGTTAATTTCTGGAATTAACAATATCATCAACCACTTCACATTCCGTCTTAATGGCACCACTAGAAAGAGCACACCGATAAACTAGTTGATTTTGTAAACTTTCCCATCTCGTAGATATAAACAGATCAAGACATGTAAAATTAGTCAGTCCTAAAATAAACACCTTTACGTTAACATCTTTAATTTGTTTTTAACACGTGGACTGCCACAGTAATTTTCAGATTTCTGGCCAAAAATGAAATTTTGATTTTATTACATTATATTATTAAAAAGTCTAAATCTAGAGCATAGTTATAAAATAAAAGAGTAAAAACGTATTTTCCTAAAAAAAAATGTTGTACGAATTATCTCGTAGTTGGCGTCGGAAACAGTAATCTCTTCTTGGAAACCAATTACGAGTTTATTCGTAGGCACACCTGCACTGACTTGTCGCTTCGCTAATGCTAAATCATTCATTGCGTCATCATCGTCCGCGTCAGTTATACCTCAGACATTGTTGAGTGCATTACTTACTTCTTTCTTGTGTGTTCTTTTTATAATTATTGAATTACTAAGAACCCAATATGGATAGGAAAAGACAATTGACTCAAAGTGAAATTGAGTACTACTTAAATCTAAGTGATTCAGAATTTGATGAGCTTTCTGGCGTGAATAATAACGGCAGTAGCGATTATGAACCTTCTGAGAATTCAAGTGATAGTGAAGATGAAGTCGTCTCAAAATCTGAAGAGGATCCGGAACCTGAAGATAACGCCGATGATTCTCAAGCAACAACATCAAATGCGAATGATAATTTGTGGACAGAAACTCAACAGAGTCCTGAATTATTTATTTTCAAAGAAAAGGTTGGTGTGAAATTGAAAAAAAACAGCGTCCAACGAAACCATGTCGCATATGTAACCAAGGAAAAAAACGCCGAGAAACGCGTTATTACTGTCCAGTATGTAGTGAAAAGCCAGCTCTGTGTGTGGAAGATTGTTTTAAAAAGTTCCACAAACAGTAAATATTATTATACTTCTGTAATTTGACTTAATTCTTACACTTACATTTTTTATGTTCGTTTTCAAATAAAAATTTTTTTTGATGCAAGCCAACATTGATTTTTTGTTCTTTCCCAAGAAGCCATCTATCGATATTAGCACTGATATATTACGAGTTTAATCGTAGCAACAGAAGAATGGCAAGTGAATACAGTACGAGATAACTCGTAGTTGGCGTCCTTGAAAAGATCGCTACCTACGAGTTATCTCGTAGTCGGCAGTCAACGTGTTAAAAACGAATTTCCTGTGCGAGGACCTTTAATTCTGGGAGAACGGAAAGTTGACTATGTTAGTGGAATTAGAATATTTTAAAGCGTTTGATTCAAATAATCACCCGTTGCATTAATCAATTTTGAATTGCACGAAATGTAGGCTGTGGTTTTGGGTAGCAGAATATCAAGTTCTCGAGAACTATCCTCTGGAGTGCTTTACGGTTCTATTTCGAGACCTCTGTTATTCTCAATTTATACAGCACAATTCTCGAAAGTATTTTTATCCCTCATTTTTGATCGATGAAGGCTATGTCTGCGTTAAACTACGACCTTTATAGGTTCACAATATTTAATTTAATAATGTATTAAATATCGAAGGTTAACAATACACTTTAAAGATCAAATAAAAAATTTATGGGTGTTGGTTGATTTAGAGCTGAGATTTACGCCACATTTTCCAAAATACAAGGTTCACACCGCCTTACTCACCAGATCTAGCTCCACGCCACTTCTTCTTGTTCCCGCATCTGAAAAGTGCGCTCGGAGGAGAAAGATTTTCATCAAATGTGGAGGCAACAATGAACAATTATTTTGCTGTGAAAAATGCTGGGTATTATTTCGACGGGTTAAAGAGATGCGAGAATTGCTGGTAGAAGTGTAAGGAGTTACAAGGAGACTATGAAGAGAAATAAAAAAAAATGAGAAAAAATGTCTTGTATCATTGTTAGGTCTCAAAATGTATTCTTTACTCTTTTAAATAGATTTAAATATCGTCAAACAACCAAATACTGCGGTTTTTACCTTTTACCCCTGAACAAATTTTTTTAAATACCTTTTTAGTAAAGACGCCACAGTATCTATATAACAAAATTAGCTTTCGGACGTACATATCAATATTAGGTTTAAAAGTGTCCTAACGCTTCCATTTCACTCAGTGGAAATTTTCAAGCGCTATTCTGATTATGTGACAAAAGTATATGCTTTCAAGAAGCAGCTGTACAACACGCTGTTATCAAAACAATAATCCTCTCATTTAAGCGGGTGGTGTTCAACTTAATACGTAATATCTGTCCGCAGGCTCATATTTCTTGTTGCCTTTTTCTTTCCATTCCCAGTCATGTCTTCACTTTATATGGAAAAACACTTATAATGCACTACCAGATAATATTAAAGACGGTTGGTATGTCAAAGAATTTTTGTAAAAATCAAAAAATTATTTTGTAAATAATTTGTATTAATTTTTTATTCTGAATGTTTTTGTCTTGAGTTAAGCAACTAATGTAGTGAATTTTGTTTTTATACATTTTATATTATGTTACTCTATTGTGTGACATATGTGTGTTGTTACTGAATGTTATATAATGTTATATACCTTTTTATTGTACGTCTATATGTTGTTGATTTTCTATTTTTTTAAAATTTTTTGTTAGCAAATTCCGTAAATGATTTAAAATCACATTTAAAATTTTCGCATGATATGTTTAATTCATTTTTCTGTATATTTCCTTTTGTCAGATAATAGGTTTAGTGTAAGAACAGCCAGCACTGCGCAATGCTGAACTGAGCTACGCCTGTATGTCTAAATGTCTAATTCGATAAAGAACTTTATGGTTTATTTTATTTATTATTATTATTATTATTATTATTATTATTATTATTATTATTATTATTAATATTATTGGAGCGTGCGCCAATGACGAGTTTATATTTAATGCAGCACCTTCCCCTTCATACCATTTTCTTAACCATATTTGTACAAATTGCTCGAAGATATAATATAAGTCAACTACAAAATATTAAAAATCAACATACACACTGTAAAATAAACACTTATTCACCTTAGTCTATGGTCCAAATCACAATAGAATACACTGAACGAAAGCGGTCAGCATTGTTCACTCTCAGAATCGTATAACAGCCCCAGAGTCGGTTCAGCTTAAAAGAAACCATGAAACCGGGCATCAAACCTTATTTGATAAAACTTAATTTTGTATATAATCCGAGAATCCTTAAGAAAAATCTTAACTGCGACTCTCTTTCACTAATATGGGAATCATGTAAGACATGCCCCTCCTTTAGCTCCGGCCTCCAAACAATATATAAACAGGTACAGAGTAGAATGCAAGTCAGTTTCAGTTAAACTCTGAAGGAACCAACAGCATGGATGACAAAACGTCAGCAAGTTTGATCTATCCACAACCAACGCAGGTGGAATCCAGAAGTTTGGTCGATAGTATTATGGTAGGTTGTGGAAGTTTCTTTGAAAAATATGTTCAATTTCTTACCATTAAATGAAAAAATGAAAAGTTGAATTCAAGTACAGTTATAAGTGGCGCTTCAAAAGTCAGTGGTGTTAGTGAAAAAGAGAAGAAGAAGAAAACCGGCAAGTCAGTTCAATATTTGCGATTGATGATGAAGGTTCTGAAAGATTACTCAGACAAATTCTTCATAACAGTTTTTTTCAAAAAAATTCCGCCAACTTTAATTGTAATTTATAAAATTCTTCGGAGAGATAAAGATTTACCAAGTACCTTAGGTAGATTAATGAAAGATATAGCGTTTCAATAAGTGATGCGTGGTGGAAAAAGTATAATGTTAGGTTGTAATATCATCGATTTAGAGTTGTATCAGTGTAACAAATGTAGAAACTACATACCCATAAGCTTGTTTTCCCAGTTGTACAAGCCAAACTACGAACCTGTAGAGCAAGCGGGATTTAGAAACAACGACAGAATAACATAAACCGTTAGTGCTCATTTTTGAGGACTTTCAAAAAGCATTCGGCATGTTTGAAAGCAATATAATAATGGCAGCTCTTAGTCAATGTCGTATCGACTATTGATATACTCATCTAGTCCTCAATAGTCAATGTCGTATCGACTATTGATATACTCATCTAGTCCTCAATATTTACAGTGATTCGCATGCGAGTATTAGACTCTATAAAAACGACGATAAATTTCCCATCGTAAAAGGAGTTAGACAAGGCGATACAATGTCCCCAAAGGTATTCACCGCCACTTTAGAATACACCTTTAAAACACTCGACTAGAAAATAGAAAAAAACTAAACAATCTGCGATTTTCCGTTGTGTTAATTTCAGACAATCTTACAGATGATATAAGATGATATAAGAAATGCGGAAATTCGCCGGGGATCAAAAGTCGAGGACATAAGCGATGATAGATGGACCATCAGACTCGTAAATTGGAAAATCCATGCTGAAACAAGAAAGAGAAAAACGCTGACAGATATCTTTGCAAAAAAAAGCGATGGTGATTATCATGACCAAATGAACCGCGAATGTTTCGAGCGTTGGTTTGAGGAAACGCTAATTTTCAATTTGAAAAAATGTTGTTATTGTGTGACCTCATGGAAAAAGCCAGAATTCAAGATTGGTCGTTCGAAAAAAACATTTTCTTTGACGACTTCTACTTGAAATCAGAGCTACTGAAAGCCGCCCACGTATGCAGAAATGTGTGTGACAATTATAAAATTAAAATAACAGCTGCGAAATACAGAATGGATTGTTTACGTTTATTACAGTACCACTGTGAGGTAAACCTTATCGACATGGTATGGAGTCAAATAAAGCTGTATGTGACAATGAACAACTCCGATTTCAATATAGAACCTGTGCATTTCTTTAATTTCAACATGCCACAGGAAAACCCCAAAAGGAAATGTGGCCGGCTGGTAATCTCCAAGACTTATGGACTTATTATTAGCGTAAATTCTGGCGACAGTTCTGAGAACGACATTGACATTTCCAGTTTCGCTCAAGAATAACAAATTTCACTGATATACAGGATGACCGGTTTATGAAGGACCTATAACTTAACTCGAAATTTGTGAGTGTTATAAAAAAAGTTGTTCCTAGTAAAATGATCTTTAATTTGCTTGCAATATTTCAATTGTCACTCAAGGTGGCCAAATAAAGTTATGTTATTAAAATAGAACACCTTATATTTGATTACATTTTTAAATACCTCTTTAAAAGACGAATCCAACGATATATATAAATATCTATATATCGACCTTTAATGCACCGTTGAATATGAACTTTCAACATAACATATTCTAGAAAAATTTAGACTTTTTTTTAGACAATGTTCATGAAATATTTTTATCAAATACGCGATGTTGCGACGGTTCGCAAAATATGACTTCTCTCATTTTTTTAAACACAAACACCCTGTATATTTCTGGATTTTCGAAGAGCCCTTTAAAAGATGAATCCATCGATATATGGGCTGCGTATATTAACGTAATGAATTAATTTTTTCTGAAAGCGTTTCAAATATTATTTTTTTATGAAATTGCTGGTTATTTCAAATAGCATTAAATAATATTAATTAATTAATTTTAATTTATTCGTCAATTGATATTTACAACATCAGGAACAATAAATAATTGCTGTTTAATAGTCTCGCTAAAACTCGAGAACGGCAGAAAGGATTTATCTTATCTTGGTCTTGAAATGTTCCTGGAGGTCCAGGGAAGGTTTAAAAGGTGAGAAATGTTATAATAATTGCCTTTTTCCAATATAAACATTTTTTTTTAAATAAAATGTGGAATCAATTTGAACTTTATTGCTATTCAATAAAGTTCATATTAAATTATAATCACTCACTGTTGTCTAAGAAATATAGGTGTATTCCTAACTTCAAAGGGTCAATTTTCAATTTTTTTCCACTGCACAAAGTTCAATCAATTATATCTATCAAAATAGTCTTTGCGTGTGGAGGATTTAATGTCGCGTTCCGAAACTCGAGAAGAGTGATAATATCGCGAATGCGACCAAATTATATAGTCACAAAATATAATAGATCATTAGTAGTAATAATTTTCCATTTGGTCGGCTTTGCGAAACTTAATTTTAGCTAACTTTAGTTGTTAATCTATCAGATTATTTTGTTTCATAGATTTACAAATTTTAAGTTTTGTAACAAATTAGATTTCTGAACGCAACCATAATATTTGACATTAGATTTCAATTCAATTCAATTAATCGATTCACAAAAAAATGTTGGGCTCGACTGCTAGGATCATTCGCCCATTGCCGACTTCCGTCGAGGATTTTCGTTTCTGGTCAATGACCACCACGTACAAAGAAGAAGAATAACCAGTAATTTGCTCAGCTAGCAAAAAACGATTCTGACCGATACCAAAAAAATCGGCTTCCCCCCGCTTCCGCCACGGGCCATCCGGGCCCATCCGGCCTCCATACCGGCGTGAACAGGGAAAAACGACGGGGCCGACGACGATTATCACTTTAAAACGTACACTAAACACTCAAAACACTAAATCCACACCGTGGAAACCGATATCAAACTTTTTGGGACGAATACAAGGGATTCTGTCGGGAGCGAACGGAGGTTAAACCGCCGCGTGCAATGCTCCACCACAGAATCAACATTAGATTTGATAACGAACTAATATGTCAATTCACCCTGTCGCACTTCGGAACACATAAAAAAGTATTACGGTTATGATATTTATGAGTGTGCGAGAACTTTACTTTGGTGATCCTTTCTGATAGTAACATTTCAAGTATTGTGTGCTTTTTTTATATTTTGTGATAGCGACACTTTACCGCTGAGTGAGCGAGAGATTTTCTCTCTTTGATTAATTAAAATTTAAGATGCCGAGGAGAAGACGACCTAACTTAGGTCGTAGATGGGCTTAGAATGCAACGAGTTCGTGGAAATTAAACACAACAGCAGCAAGCACGACATAATGAAATTAAGCAAATCTGCAGACACAGTGCCAGTATTTCAGGAAAACTTTGTTTTGTAATAACTTCAAACAAAAAACAAAAACAAAAAACAATAAATGATTACCAATAATGCAATTTAACTTAATCGCCTTAATATTGTCTCGGAACTGATGAAAATCGTTGACCACCCTGTATGTAATTGAAGCACAATTGAAATAATACAAAAAAAGATCAACACTCATAGTTTTAGATATAAAGTATAGGCCGTTCTAAACCCGGGCCACGCGGTACATAAAAATGAAGTAAAGTAAAAATTAGTCCGACTAAGACAGTTGTCGGAATAATAGCGATCGCCACGTACTGTCCCATTCTGAAATTACGCGTACTCTCTCGCGGTCATGAATAAGGGCCCATGTGTAACCTTGAAATTAATACCTGGCAAATCCATCCTGGCAAGAGGTTTGGGAACATACTGCACTCCTGTTTGAAGAATTGAAAACCAAATAATTCCCATCGGAGCAAGGACCTTGTCGGTATGCAGCAAAGCATCCCTCTTTGGAGGCATAGTAAAGATACCCCGGTCCACAGTCGCAGATCCAATCGGACGTAGTCTCGCCGGGATAAAGCAATTCGTTTTCAGGGCAAACATTCGGTGCGTAGAGTGGAACACCTCTCTGCAAAGCAAGAAATAATAAATTACGCGATACGTTTAATAAACATTGTTTTAGCGTGAACGGAGTAAAAGACAATCGCAATCAAAAAACACCGGTCAACACGCAAGACAGTAAACATTATGTCAGAAAGCAGAGTTATTTTTAATATGCGTGAAGCAGTAGATATATTCAATGACAGTAACCACTATTCAACTGTAGGATATTAACTCATTTCAAACAAATACAATACTCAATACAATAGGAAGAAACGTCTTCAAACTGTACATAATGAAAAAAATCTACTTAAAGTACTTCAGACAGCTGTTGACAACCCCAGAAAATCCACGAAAAAATTTGGGATTAGACAGATGTAAAAAAAAGCTCTGATTCAAGAACGAGACTATGATGACCGGTACGACTTTTGCATGTGGATTCAAGGACAAATAGAAGATCAATGTGATTTCTGTAAACACATTCTTTTTGGAGATGCATCCACGTTGACCGTTATGCAAAAAAACAGAGCAACGGAGATGCAAATACAACAGAACGTTGTATAATAGGAAATTATGTCTTTTCATCACGCTGCATACCAAAAATACTTTTAATTCTGTTTCATGCTTCCGTAGTTTCACTAGCTATTTACCGAACCGAAAGGTGCTTGTAGTGGGCAACAATGAAGTAATACAAGTTAACTGTGGTCCTAAAGACTTTTAGACTGCTGGCACGTATATTGTGATGCATTTTGATGACTGAATATGCCAAAAGCTGCTGCTGGTTGGTTACCCTGATGACTCGTTGTCACTAGAAGGATTGAGGTAACTTTAATGACATCGGCGAGCATAGTGGTTCGTAGAATTTGTAAGTGTATGAAAGAGCTAAAACTTGAACTGCCAGTAGATGAGACAGAATATAAGCTGAAGAAATGTGAGAATGTACTGGATCAAGAAATCGTTACCAAACAGGACATTAGATACCTGGGAGTCTTTATGGAGCTTTTATGAGGCGACAAGTAATAAACACCTGCAAAGAAGCTGAAGCATCTGCAGTGGCACTTGCCCGCTTGATGCCATTCCAGCAAGTGAAGCGGAAAACGCAGAAAGTAAATACAGGTGCATGTCTATAAAGATTCAAAGAAAACTTGCTCCAAGGATATATATATATATATATATATATATATATATATATATATATATATATATATATATATATATATATATGCAAATCAGTACAATTTACTATTATTAGTATTTAATAATATTAATAGTAGTAGTTACAGTCTTATTTAGAAAAAAACACTTTAAGGCTAACTGTGTTTACATTTACATTTTAGAGCAGGGTACAAAACTCGCGGATGCCCTAGAGAGAGAGTTGCAACTCCTCTGCCTTCACTTTTGCATCCACCGAATCATTTTCCGGCGAATAGGAAAGGTTATGTATTCGACCATCTCTGTAAAGTTCTAGATCTTTCCTTCCGTACCTAGCATTTAAATATTTTTTATGACCAAAAAAAGAAGAAGTTCTATACAAACACATTATTGAATAAAAAAATATAAAAATCACCAGCATTTTATCTGGAAGCCATCTTTTGTCGGTCGACACGAAAATAAAGGTCGTTGGAAAGTTCATTTTACTTTGAATGATTATTTTACGAAAGGTGTTCGAAATTAATACGAATATAAGTGTTTTAAAATAACCATAATTATGGGATCCTGTATTGGAGATAATACAAAACGACAAGTTTAAAGCTGTGAAAAAATTCCTTGATTGCTGAAAGTGACGTTGTGACCTTAAGGTCACTTTGATTAAATAAAATCCACGATGTGATGTTCCGAGTTAGGTGAAAAAACGCTACTGAAAATTAGAGAAGTTGGTAAGTCAATCAGAAGTAAAAATTATTATTGTGAACCGATCTAAGTATCTTTGAAACTTCAAAAACATTTTCGTATTATTTTCACTACAATTATATTATACCACAATTTGGCAAGGACAGAAAATTCATGTACAGGGTGGTCCATTTAAGATGATCCTACACCTTATCTCAGTAAGTACAACACTGTATTTATATATAGGATGTTCCGTGCCCGGATAGTAAACAACTTTTTTTTAATGGAATGCTATGAATATTAATATTAATTTAAACCTTTTCGGTTGTTTTGATAATTGTGTATCTATACGTTGATATTTATATATACCAACTTGATTCTTTCTTACCGTTGATGATTTATGTAAGATACATATTGGGTTGCGTCATAAATAACTAAGTGGTTGGTTGAAAGGAAAATTTTTATACTGTTTACTTCAAAATGCCTTATAAAAAGAAATGTAATAAACAACAAAGTGAAAAAATAGATGAAGATGATTTTGAATCGATCGAGTTTAGGACTCCAAAATCGAACCGTGAGTAAATTAGAGTATGGCGCAGTTGGCCGACACGGTGGCGAATTCTGTTAAAAAATCGCAAGTTGCGACTAGCGACAAACATTATATATCTTTGTGGCGTGAATTGGGGGGTTCGAACTTGACATTTCATCCGGATGGTAGCGTACGTCCAATAATTTTTTTTGAAAAAATCAACGCAATTTTTAAACGATGCAAAAGTTCCGGAGGAAAGCAAGGTTTCTTTGGCTTTAACGACCTTGAGGAGTTACGCGGTAGATTGGAGGGTCGCTAAGGAAAGTTCGTTTAAAAATTGGGAAGACTTTAGTGACTGTTTTAAAAACAGATATTGGGGAATAAATCAAGAGCGCGAGTTATTCTTCGAAATTAACTATGGCGAGTTCAGGTCAGGTAACCGACCTGATTATTTTTTGAAAAAAGTAGCACAAGCCGCGTTTTTAACTGAAAACCTACCCGAAGGCCAACTAGTAGAATATCTCGTAAAACATTTTTCAGCCGATATACAAAGAGGGGATATTTATTGCGGGTTTGAAAACAATAGATGAAGTCGAATGCTATTTAAGGAAATTAGATGATACGTTTGAGGGAGAAAGGTCGCGTAGATCAGGGGAAAATGTTAGGAATGTTAGTTTTAATAATTATCAAAGTCGAAATTCACCTCCGAGTAGACAGGAAAATCAAAATACGAGTAATCCGCGAAATTCGAAAAATGATAATGCGAGAGGGGACGGTAGCGGAAACCGAAATGTTCGATTTTTAACTAGGTCCGAGGAGCTTTTGAGTGACGGGGATGAAAGTGACTCCGCAGAAGAACAAGAAATGTTGTCTCCGATAATTGAAACTTTGATATTTGACCAGAAAATAGACGTATTAGTTGATTCAAGTAGTCAGTGTTGTGCCATATCTGAATCTTTCTTTAAAAAGTTACAGGGTGGTAATAAAAATTTACCAGTATTACCAATCTCTAATATGAACATTTCTGCTGCTTTTGGGGGGAAAATTATTAAGGCAAAAGTTCAGGTTTTACTTCCAGTTGAAATTGTAAAAGAAAAATTTGACATTTCTTGTATAGTAGTGCCTACGTTAAATCAGGATTTAATCTTAGGTACAGATTGGATGAGGGCGGAGAAGGTCTAAGTAGACTTTGACCGAATGTTGATTTGCATTGGTACTCGAACAATGCAAATACCAATTAAATTTGAAAAACAAAATAAAAATCAGATTAATCTTCACTCATTGCAGGATAAGAAAAAGAAACGACATTGTTATACAGATTTTGAACTAAGAGACGTAGCAAACAAATCAGACGTATTTGATCAAGAACATAAAGATAAATTATATTTACTATTCCGCAAATTTAGCCAAATTTTCTCTGAAATGCCCGGACTAACAACGAAATATGAACACGAAATAAAAATGCGCGACTCCACGTCATTTTTTAAAGCTTCTTACCCAATTCCATACTATTTTAATGTGTTGCCTTTTGGTCTATCGACTTCGGTGGCAAATTTTATACGGGGTTTGTCCAAATTACTCGGACCCGAAGTGCTATCTTTTACTCTTGTTTATGTTGAGGACATTTTAATATTTTCTCCAGATGCTGAAACTCATTTAACTTATCTGTTATTTTTGAGAAATATTACGACGCTAATTTGACAATTAAGTTTGCGAAAATCCTCATTCGCTAAATCTAAAACTGAATTTGTCGGACATATAATTTCGCCTAAAGGTATAGAAATAAATCCAAATCGAATAGAAGCTATTAAAAATTTTCCAAAGCCGCGAAATATTCGAGAAATTAAGGGATTTCTCGGGTTAGTAAACTATGATCATAGGTTTTGTGAAAATTTTGCCGATTTAACAGTTCCGCTTGTAAAAGTGTTACGCAAAGCCTCTGCGCAGGCTATTGTGACTAAACTCGAGAACAAATATTTTACTGAAGTACAAAAGCCGAAAATGTTATTAAGTGATAACGGAACGCAATTTTATTCCCAAGTTTATAAATCTTGTCTTGGTCGGAGTCAAGTGAAGCAAATATTTACCTCGGTATATTTTCCACAGGAAAACGCTACAGAGCGAGTCAATAAAGAAATTGGCCGTCTTCTTCGCACATTTTGTTTTGCTAAACATACTAAGTGGGCTGCTGTATTGGGCAACGTAGAACATTGTATAAATAATGTGGTCCACGAAGCCACCGATTTCACACCTAATTTCCTCTTTAACGGTAGACACGAACCCAATAATATAATAAGGAATTTTAGATTTCCCGTTTTCCAATGAAAACCCGTGCAATGATTTGACGCAGTTCTGGATATTAGCCAAGGAACGCTTACTTTCCAAAAGGAGGCGCAAGGAATTAACTTTCAATAAAACAAAAAAAAATCTGTTGTGTTTAATCAAGGGGATTTAGTCTTAGTTCGAACCCACGCTCAGTCGTCAGCTGAGATTGCAGAAATTAAAAAGTTTTTCCTATTATACGAAGGTCCGTACAAGGTGTTTGAAAGGAAGGGGTCAAATTCTTATTTATTGGTAGACGATGTCATACAATATTTGGGTCCGCATAATATCATAATTTTAAAGAAATTTAAACCCATGCCTGAAGCAAATTTGCTTCATTAGCCACTTAGAATTTAACGATAATAATAATCATAATTTGTTTTCTTTGTTTGGACATTGTCATTTATTTTAATTGCTAGAACGGTATTAAAACTCTAGCATCTGTTAAACCATATGTATAGTTTTAATAGGGGGGAAATGTGGTTCGCGATTAAAAGTGAAGTGCGGCAACAAGGGATATTTGCAATCCCCGGTTAAAAACTCGGTTCGTGAAGGGTGGGGAGACGGGCAGAAGACGTTCCACAGGACGGAGTTCCTGGGGATAAAGAAAGTCCCGTGAATATTATTGTTTCTTTAGAAATTTGTAGTGTTACTTTCAGTAAAAGTTTGGTAGTTTTCAAATTTTGAGGATCTACAGTTTTAACTGGGGTGCTATAAACCAGATTTTTAAGGTGCACCCATAAGAAAAAGTACAAACAATTTAAATCTAGGGACCTACGAGGTGATCGTTGAAGTCCGCCGCGACCTACTCAAAAATAAAAATGGATTTTTACAGTATTCAAAAGCGTTTAGATCTTCATGCAAGACAGGTACCCATGAAACATATTTTTTAACGAATTGTTCGTAATCTTGAACGTGGAGTGGTAATCAACAATCGAAAACGCTGTCCAAAAATTGTCCTAATAGAAAAAAGCAGGTTCTTTTGCATTTTGAAGAAAACAACGAAAAGTCGCAGAGATACATTCCGAGCGAATACTTGTGAGACTAGTGTTCAAATTTCTGCCAGTACAAAAATTATTCCAACAGGACTTTCGAACAATACTTTTTTATTGTTCCCTCGTGATGGACCACTATTTTGTGACGTTTTTTAAAAAAATCTATTTACCGATGAAGGAATTTTTAATACGGTCGGTATGTTCAACAGAAAAAATACTCATTACAATAGTTCAGATATAATAATATCTAAAACGAAAATTGTGTAAAAGAAATTAAGAAACAGGGTCAGAGAAGTTTTTGTAATAATCAAAATTATGTTAATTAACGGTCTAGATATAATAGTAATACAGACATAGAAGTTATAGCAGGGACTATTATAGTAGACAGGTTGTACTTATCGAATGAACGGTAGAATGGATCAAAGAGACAGCAAAAGAAAGCAGTATTGTCAAAAAAACGGCAAGTTGTTTTTCAGGTACATATTTCGAAGGGGTGAGTAACAGCGCCACCTCGCTGCCAAAAATATGAATTTTTGAGGTACTGATATCTCTCGTACACGAGTCAAACTAAAATCTAATATTTGCGATATCAAATATGCACGGGCAGATATTACAACGCATATGCTTCCCTGCGAATCCACTCTGCGTTACCATTATCAAAACTATGATAGTAATCAAATTCCTTCACTTGAACCAGAAACTAAAAGAAAATGGTCGATTTAAGTACTGGCCGTGGAGAAACATTGCAGATCTGATTAATATTTTAAAATATTGGCAAACGAAGTTGCATTACAGATACACAACGGTTGCTGGAATGGAGACAGAAACTCAACTTCGTCAATTTCGCGTAGAAAAACGAGATATCGCATATAGAGGAAAAAGAATATCAATTTTACACTGCGGCTCGAGAGAAGTATGGCACAAAACTAACCAACCAATATAATATAGTTGTCTATGTATGGCACCAAACACGTTGCTACTTTCGGCAAAGTGACGTGAACGTTTTGAAAATTGGGTAAAATATTCTCTTCTTCCATATCCAATCAGACTGAGTAATTGTTTATGACGATGGTAATTACCACAGCGCTTTAGCTAAAAAAGTAAAAAAAAGTACCAACGATCAGCAGTAAAAAAGGGGTATTGCAAGAGGTCCTTAGTCAACATGACCTTTATTTTTTAATAACAAAAAAAAGACCAGTTGATGTAAAAATAAAATCGTATGAAAAAACTTCGTAGACTAGATAAAAAAAAATTCGGTAATACACCCGTTAGATTATTACGATTTGGATCCTACAAAAACGATATTAGCCCAATTAAGAAACGAAAGTTAGACGCAATAACTCCAAAATGTCCGCCCATGTAACTCATGTAACCAAAACTTAAAAAAAACTTGGGACAATGTAAAACCATTAGCGTATAACTACTGAATAATTTAATTGCCTATTTTAAGACTTCGTGCTTTATAAGACTAGTTCTATAAGTTAAATACAGAAATATTCTCTCGTTAATGTTTTTGTTATTTGTCTCGTACCTACTTTATTTTCGGCAAGTTTTAAAATGCATAAAATATCCCTCTTAAACGGCTCTTAGCTTCTAATAAATCTGATCTAAATGCGTATAGCGGGAAAATTGACAATACAATTGGAAAATTTACTGCAAATTTCGTTAAAGTAAGGACAGGGAAAAAATTATTATTTGGTTTTTTTATCATCATAAAGAAAACAGTGTATTACTTCACAAAATGAGAGTAAAAATTTGTTTATTTAATAGATCACCTGATTATGACCACTTAAGTTATTAGGGATTAAATTATTTAAAAATCTGGTATTGGATTCCCACACGTCCATTATAATTTTTCTTGCACATTTTTTATACAAACATTAAATATACAGGTAGGATCAGATCAAAAAGTAAATGTCGTTATCGAGTTCCTTTTTTTAAATGAAACACCGTTTTTTAAATAAATTTTCCACCTCCGTGTCAGTTTTCACGCATATCCTATACCATATCCATCCTTACATTTTACAAGCAAATGAATAAAAACCATTAATTTAATTTCGAAATGGACAAGTAAGCAGCTAGTATCATTAAAGTTTTTTAAATTGGCACAATTACACGAAAATCAGAGAATAGAAAATGCAATTTTTATTGTGTGTGAAATGGAGACAAAATTTATAGAAACAAGACATGTAAAAGGTCATCTACAACCAGGTCGTTCACAAACTGATGACAACAGAAGATTAAACATTTTTTTTAGAAGTTGAGAATAATTAGCATCGCGCATCTCCTGAAGTGACTTCAAATAATTATGTTAGCCGACGAATAGCTTTGCATTTATTAAAACAAGATAAGTATCATCCGAAACAGATTACATTCCTTTTTGTGATAAAATCAAACTTTCTTCCTACTTTAGATTGTTTTTGAGTTAATTCAGTGACACAATTTGTTAAAAATTTGTCAGGATAATTTTTATTTTCATCTCGCAGCGATATTCTTCCATTTACAATTTGAAACCTAAATTATCCCAAACCAAACATTTCCCTTCGTCCCAACTTCTGCCTCCACACTTCCGAAGATCCATAATTCGTTTATTTCCGAACATATGAACAATAAATAAAAAAAAACTTTGTCGGACGTCTTTTTAAATGATATTGTTTGGTCTCGTTTTGTAGGTACTTTACGGTCCGCATTAACATATACTTATACTATGTCCAAAATGTGCAACTCAACCCCATTTTTTCGTCGACAGATACTTTTTAGTGATTAAGCCACATTTTGTTTTAATAACACATAAACAAAATTGTAGGTATTAGAGTACAGATAATACCCGATGGATAACAAAATTATTGGACATTATTATCTCTTCTGCACTCGCAGTTTCTTTCCAATTCCAAATCCAATCCAATCCAAATCAGTCTGATATGTCAGATTGATGGCAAGGCCTGCCATGGGGATGTTTAAAATCAAAGTGGAAAAACACAAAATTTAGATCATTTAAAATTTTTTAAAAAATCTTTCATACGTCCTGTTTTTATAAATTTTCTCTTAGTTTTACTAGCGTCAAACAAATTATAAATAAGCTTCTTTTTGAGTTCTCGTTTTGTCCCCATATCCAATAAAAATTAAATTTTTATTTAGATGCGCTTTCATTACTGACAGAAAAGTATTTCTGACAATTTAAGAACTACATACTAGCTACTTACCTATTCATTTCAATTTTGTTTTATTTTTATTCTTATTTTAATAAAAAGTAAAAGGTGTAAGGTATCCTACATGAATTATGTGCTAACTTTAGCGCGTTTTGATTTTTAAATGAATTTGTTCCATATATTAAGTGTTCACTATATATATAATTAATGGGAATATAATAACTACTTACCGCATCAATTGCAGATGAATTTCTTTTAATCGGAATCGAAAATGTTAGTCTTAGCGTTACCGAAATCATTGCCGCCCGGTAAAACAACTTCATTGCGAAAGATCGACGGATTACCCGACCCCAACTGCGAAAGAATATTGGTGTAGTTTGTTTGTTTATACTTAACATCCTCTCCAACAACCCAGATTCTACAATTTTTCTCGAGTATCTAAACCAGTCTGACCGACTGATTTTAAGTGGGTCACCGTTGTGGCACAACGCTTCTTCAGCGACATGTAGGCACTTAAATTTAAAATAATTTCAATTTAAATGGTCGCAAAAAAAATTGGAAAGTAAAATGTAAAACTAGAAAATTAAAGGCTTGTGTTTTTCTGTGAACGGTTCATTATTTCCGATAATTTTCCATAAATACCCTGGATGATTAGAATGGTATTTTATTTCTGCTGTCATATTTTGCTGCAAACGGAGAAAACTGAGCAGATATAAGACTTACTAGTTAATTCTATGCTGTTCATTACTTTTTATACTTTTTCTGGCACATGGCAACCGGAGTAATTAACACATAGTTGATAAAAATATCACACAATCTCAACATCATTATCTTAAATAGCATGGAGTTTCGTCATGGGAAACGATCCTAGTGAAACAAGAAGAATATATTTTTCCACATTTTTAAACTCTTTGCGTTCCAATTCTGATTCTTTTTGTTTGGATACCACTAAAACTTAAATTAAGCTGCTATTTCAAATCATAGAAGCCTGAAGTTTTGCGTGCACTTTCCGAATGCCCCGTATATTACCTGGATAAATTTATTTCACATTATGCAGGGTCGTTTAAAAGTAATGATTCTGGTAACTGGCAAAAGGATTCAAAACTTTGATCAGATGATTTCGTATTTGCATCAAATTCAAGTAATTAATTTTTTACAAATGGGGCATATTCTGCGTTGAAAATAATTCCTACTTTCATATATAAACGTATGTTGGAAAACACTTCCGTTTTCTAAGAACAAAAATGTATCATTTTCAAACCACTTCAGATATTTCACTGACATTTTGAAATATGCTCTCAAGCAGCAAAACGCGTCTTTTGAGCAGAAACATTACCACTGACGTCCGTATCTAGATTTGCATTATCATAATTTTGCTGATTTCTCCATGCATCAGAACGGTTATCGAACACGATGCATAGTTCGGAAAAAAAGTCGAGACGAAATTCGTTCAAAATTTTTATTTTAGGAGAAAACAGTGGCGCACTTTTAGAAAATATTCCATGCGGAAGTCACAGCTAAATTTAAAAAAAAATATTTCGCATCCAAAAATGTCTTTTGTTGCTTTTTGTTTCTTTTGTTTGCGTTTTGTTTATATAGAAAACTAGAACTTGTTTTTGAATATGTCATAAAAATTAAGTGCATTAGTTTCGGAACACCGAATAGATAATGAATGTTAATTTTCCAAAGAAACGTCCAAAAAGACTTGTAAATTGTAGATAAAAAATCAAACCAAAAATTGAACTGAGGTGGCTTTTACTTGATGAAAATCCATTTATCAAAATAAATAAGAACTAAAAGTTCAGATTTTCACGAAATTATTTATTTTTACACAATTGTTTCGATAACACCGTGTCTTTATCAAATGTTAAACTTATTTTGCTTCATTTTCATTTATTTTCAATTAAATGTTAATTAAAACATTATAAAATGCAAGTCTGGTGACACACCCCCCCACACACACACACACAAACATACACGCGCGCGCGCGCACTCACACACACAGCTATCAAATTAAAATATCTGAAGAGCTATTTTATCGAAAATCTCATGACTTAGGTATGCCACTAATATACAGGATGCCCCAAATCAACAAATAAAGTTTAAAAATTAATGAAACTTTGTCATTGCTACTTTTCCTTCCCTAGAAGTTGCCATTATTAAGTTATACGTATGACGTCAGATTTCGAAAGAGATCGTCATTCTAAAAAAATACATGTACACATTAATTGATTTACTAAACAATACCCCCTAAAATTGACTCTTGTTCTTGATCAGCTTGTCCTTTGGAGGTTGCTGATCATCATGGCTACCTTCACTTTTGATACTGCTGATCTAAATAATTCAATTGACGATAGACCAAACCGTTCTCGAAGATTGCGCAACCAAAAGATTCTTCGGCGCCCTACACTTCATCTACCTACAATTTTGCCCTCAAAATGCGTTTTTTAATTGGAAAGAATATTTCGAGTTCTTTGGCCATTCTTCCTAACACTTACTCGTTTGTAATTATACTCATCGACGAGACTCTCAGCATGCGTCTATAAGTGCACACTTGAAAAACTTCTGACCTCCTTGTGGTTTCTCTATTCAGCGGCCAGCCTTCCATGCCATAAAGCAACACGGGAAATACTTAGCATTGGATCAGTTTTGTTCTTACTGTTAGTGATAGGTCCGGAGCCATCAATAGTTTTTTCATTTTTATGAAGACTTTTCTTGCCTGTTCAATGCGTGCCAGGATTTCCTGTTTATATTGAACGTCTTTATTAATTATGGTGCCAAGGTATTTGTAGTGTCCTACTTGTTCAATTGTTTTTCCGTCTACGATGAGCTGACCGGTTGCTTGCTTCCTTTTTGTTATCACCATCATTTTAGTCTTGTCGATGTTTATATTGAGACCGTAATCTTTGCTAGCCTTCACTACTTTGTTTAGTAGTCTGTGTAAATCCTCGACAGAGCCCGCATACAAAACAGTGTCATCAGCTTATCTAATATTATTAAGGATTTTCCCATTCATTACTATCCCAGCCTGTATATTTTGAATAGCATTGTCTGACACCCTTCCGTATGCTGACCTTTTCGGAGAGAGCGTTATCTATTCTGACCTTAGCGGCTTGACTCCAATACAGCTTTGATATAATTTTCATGTCGTGATAGCCGATGTTCAGTTTTTGTAGGATTTTCATTAGTTTTTCATTCCTGACATTATCAAACGCTTTACTATAATCGACAAGGCACACATAGAGATCCTGATTGACGGCTAGGTATCTCTGGGCAAGAACGTTAAAGGGTTAAAGGCGAAAATGGCTTCCCGAGTTCCAAGGCCACTGCGGAATTCAAATTGCCTGTCAGAGGTTTCAGTTTCGCATATGTTGTGTATTCTGGCGACCACGATTCTTAGGAATATTTTCAGAACATGGCTCATTAGACTTCCAAGTCGGTGATCATCACATTTATATGGTCGAGATTTTTTTGGGATTGGGGCAAAAATAGGCAGAAGCCAATCATTGGGAATATTACCAGTCTGTTATACGTCGTTGGACAGATTTAAGAGTACTTGCATCGAATGTTCGTCAAGCAATTTCAAAAGCTCACAATGCACATCGTCTGGCCCCACTGCTTTGCCAAATTTTCATATCCTTATAGCGTAGTCAATTTCATCTCTTGTTATTAGACGTGGATTCTCGGTTGTTGTTAGCTCGTAGTCAGTTGCTCGTTGGTTATGGAAAAGCTGCTTTATATAAGTTCTCCAGATCTCCAGCTTATTCTCAATGTCAAAAATTATTGAATTTTGTTCGTTTCTTAAAATACCTGAGTCTCTTTTTGATCCAGTACCAACTACTTCCTTTATCTTTTTGTGCACGTTAAAGCTATCGTATTTGCATTCCAGGTCCTCTATTTCTCTGCACCTTTCCTTCATCCAGTTCTCCTTCGCTTCGCGGATTTTGTTACGGATAATGTTTTTATTGGATTTGTATTCTGCTTCATTATTGTTTTCATGTTTTCTCCTCTCTTCCACTAGTGATAAAATTTCTTGTGTCATCCACTTCTGTTTTGGCACCCTCTCGTCCTTGCCAACTATTTCTTTTTGTGTTGTTACTACGGTATCCTTAATTATTTCCCATTTTGTGTTCTGATCCCAGGTAGTGAATCCTTCTTCGTGTAGCCTATGGAATTTTTCATTTAAAAAGTTGGTAGTAGCGTTTCTTATAGTTGCCTCTTTTATCCTATGAATATGTACATGTTCTGTTTTACTATTTTGTTTCACTTTTTTTAGTTTTATGTTCATGTCCATAACCATAGGGTTGTGCTCGGGTCCGACATCTACGGCTGAGTAAGTTTTTGTGTAGCCTATCTGGTTTCTAATTAAATGGTCTTTGTTGGCCCCGAGTGCTTTCCAGGTGTACACCCTCCTTTTCGGAAGTTTGAATAGTGTGTTGCTTACCACCAAGTCTACGCAGAACTGCAACATACGATCTCCCCGCTCATTTATCTCTTTCAAACTGTATGCAGTTTGGGAGAGATCATATTCGTATCATATTCATATCTGCCTTCTCCAATTTTTGCATTGTAGTAGCCCATAATAAGAGTTAAGTCACGTTCTTTTCTCAATTTTAGAATATCCCGGAGTTTTTCATAGAATTATTCAATTTCGTGGTCACTTTTATCTGCTGTAGGGACTTATATTTCTATAAGGTTTAATTTACCAATGTTCGTTTGAATCTGAATCATAATGATCCTATCGGAGTAGGGTAAGAAATTGATCGCCGATTTCGCCATGTCTTTCGTTACCTTTATTCCGACTTCATTATAGTGGTGATTCCCATCGTTACCCGAGTAGTACAGTATTCCTCTGTTAGTCGTGTACTTACCAGAATCCACCCATCGCACCTCACTCACACCCAACACATCAATTCTCAACCTCCTCATTTCTGCGAGAACGTTGTCCATCTTTCCTGCCTGATATAAGTTACGTACGTTCCACTTTGCGATTCTGATGTTATTTTTATGCATTTTAAAACACTTCCCTTGATAATTGGCTGACGGCGAGATCCTTAGCACCATCCCTCCACTCAAGGATTAACGGCCGTCGATTGCCTTCCCCGGTATTTAATTAAAGACGCTGCTGTTGTGGACTTCTTTTAGCTTCACCTTCATCCAGAAACATTTTACCGACAAGGATGGCCCTATCAGTAGCTATGCTACCGCCGGCATCGTTCCCTGGATATTGAAGGTTACTGAGCGTTCTCACCAGCGACAAGATGGAAGTTCCCGAGAGGGTACCTCCAGTACTAAAACTGACAATAAAGCCAAATTAAATAGTCTTGACAGAGCTTTTAATTATTAAAAGTATTTACGT